GGCCCGCGGGCCGTAGTTTGAGGACCCCTGCTTTAAACTATGGCCCTTACTCCAGCTCTGGAACTGAGCTCCTCTCTGTCAGAGATAATCAACCATTCAAGATCATCATGACAACGTTTTCCCATGGATAAAATTCAGAGGATTAGGAAAAACGGGAAATGGTAACAGGAAACACGGGCAGGATGTAGGGTGTGCAATGACACCTTGAAGGGGCTGCAATGAATGAGCAGAATCAGAACGTGTACAAATCGCTGAATGTAAAAGGATATTCTGCAGTATAAGCCATCACCTAACTCACAATAAAGAGTTTTTAAAAAGAGGCAATGAGAAGTTTTCATGATTAAAAAGGAGAGATGAGAATTGGGATGAAAACAGGGCCTGGTGGCTCGACTTTAAAAGCCCTCAGGTGATTCTAATAAGCAGGCAAGATAGCACTACCAGGTGACAGTTGCTGGGCTGCTAACCCCAAGGTGGGTGGTTCAAATCCATCAGCTGCTCTGTGAGGGAAACATGAGGCTGTCTGTTCCCATAAAGTGGTATGGCCTCATATAGAGGCTGATATAAGTTGCAGTTGACTCCATGGCAGTGGATTTTACATATATATATATATATTCCTATGAAGCCCTGGTAGCATATTGCATTAATTGTGGGGCTGCTAACAGTTCGAAACCACCAGCCACTTTGCAAGAGAAAGATGAGGTTTTATAGAGTTGTAGTCTCAGAAACCCACACGGTCTGTTCTGGGGTCACAATGAGTCAAAATTAACTTGATGGCAATGAGTTTAGTTTCTGGTTTATCTTGAGTATGTGTATAGACACCTACAAAGGCACCCCGAAGGAACGGGGTTTTCCCGGAATAAGAAAATGACAAGATTGGACAGTGCACACTGTCGGGCAGGAAGGAGATGCAATAGATTGAAAATGAACCCTGAAGTTCCGAAGCCATCCATCAACTCAGCCGATCCGGATCGCCTCAGCCTCCTTATGGTCTACAAACATGGCTTGCTTTTCTTCCCAGCCTATCTCCGAGAAAAAGAATCCTTCATTGTTGGAAAACTGCCCCTGAACAGGGCACTGAAAACCATCCATCTTCCATTCACCATCATATCATCTGGACGAGGCAAAGTGTCTTAGTTGTCACCCTCAGAGATTCCACTGGGCAGCTTTAGGCAAGTCACTGATGCGTTCAGCAAGGTTTATGAGTGGACTCCACACGCCAGGCACTAGGGCGCAGTGACCCAGGCACTGTCTCTAGCCCCAGCCAGAAAAGAGAGGCGCCTTCCATGCATCTAGTCCTGTATTTGCAAACTGTAGTTTGGGTGGCGTGGTTTCTCATGGCTCTTCCGATTCTCATGGTCTTGACTTCTACGTCTGACCAGAACCTTTCCCCTTACTCGCTCATGGCACATGCCAAAACTCAAGATGTAGTAACCAAAGGAAAGCTCCCTTACACAGAGACACAGCCCACTCCACCGCCCTCTTCCCCGGCAATGAGCCCTGGGTGGCGAACTGAATATTCCCTAGCAAACGCTTCCACGAAAACCCCAAACAAGCACCACTTAGTTCTAGCAGGGGGTTCTAGCAGAAAGAGGACCGCTCTTCAACTGCCAGATGTCCACCTGACAAGGTATGGGCTGCAGCATGAAATGAATTCCTTCATGCTCGCCAGGCTCATCCCAACCCACATAGCTGATGGGAACTTCCAACCAACACTGTGATCCAGAGCAGCTAGCTCCCACCCCTGCAGTCATAGACGGCAGCCTTCCCTCTCTAAAGGGACCACAAACATTCCAAAAATCTCATTGACATCCAGTCAAGCTTGACTCACAGCAACCCTCAAGGGCAGGGTAGACCTGCCCCTGTGGGTTTCTGAGATTGTCACTCTTTACAGGAGTAGAAAGCCTTGTCTTTCCCCCTCAAGGAGTGGCTGGCGGCTTCGAACTGCTGATCTTGTGGTTCGTAGCCCAACGCTACTAACTAGTTAACATTAGAGGCTACTTCCTATCTGTCAGTGTGTTCTACTGTGGTGGCTTGTGTGTTGCTATCCTGCTGAATGCTATGCCACCGATATTTCAAATACCAGTAGGGTCTCCTACGGTCGACGGGTTTCAGCAGAGCTCCAAGACTGATGTAAACTAAGAAGCAAGATGTCATGATTTATTTGAAAAAGCCAGCCAGCGAAATGCTTAGGGACACAACAACAGAGAGTCTGACTCACTTGCTGTAGGCGCATCAGCAGGAGAGGGGGGCATCAGGGTGGTGAAGTGGAGGGCCAGTCAACAAGAACAACGGAGACCACAGGTGCGATGCACTGCTACAAAAGCCCAAGTAATGGTCTGGACCCACCAACGAAGGTGGGCATGATGTCAATCACATTTCATTCTCGTGTACACACAGTTGCCCTGAGTCACAGCCTACTGGCTTGCCGAGCCCCCACCTCCGCGCGCGCGTGTGTGTGTGTGTGTGTGTGTGTGTGTGTGTGTGTGTTTATGAAACCCCGAACTCACTGCCATGGAGTCAATGCTGACTCCCAGCAAACCCCTGTGGGTTTCGGACACTGTGAGTCTTTACGGGAGTAGAAAGCCCAGTCTTTCTCCCTCAGAGCTGCTGGTGGCTAACGGCTGCCCATGAGGATCACAGCCCAATGCTTAACCACTACACCACCAGGGATCAGATCTATATTAGAAATACATGCAGACGTGTTTTTGATTGGATGTATGAAATTTGATTCAAAGAAAGAGAGTGGGGATGGGAAGGTTACCGTGTGGTGAGGTCACTGGCTCCCAATGATGGATGCTTTTGCCCTGCAGGTAACACTTGGAAAAAAATCTAGGGACCTTTTTGGCTGTCAGATCTAGAGAGGGACACTGTGCTACTGGCTTCTATGAGATAGAAATCAGCAAAACAGCCAAAAACATGCTGGCCAATCCCCACAACAAAGTGTTTTCTGGCTCAAAATGCCAACGGTGTCACCGTGGCCGAGAAACCTTAGTATGAACATGAAATCAAGTTGCCCTGAGTTGGGAATTACTGAAAGTCCATCGTACAAATTTCTCCACCATTGTGTATGTTTGAAATGGTCCCCCCAAAAGGCCGGTCTGGTTTGGTTTAATTGTACAATTCCAGAAAGCAAATCACAAGGTGAAGAGCACACAGGTTTTAGACCTGGCAGTCCTCCGCACTGGACACAGAGCAGGTGTCTTGATTCACACTAGAAAACCAGATTCAAACTCATTGTCATGGAGCTGACTCCAACCCGCAGTGATGACCCTCTGGGGCAGAGGAGAACTGTGCCGGTGGGATTGCAAGGCTGTCACTCTTTCACAGGAATTGCAAACCTCCTTCTCCTCTGGAGCATGGGGGAGTGAGCCGACCATGCAGTTCGCAGCCCCATGCATAAACCCCCATGCCACTAGGACTCCTTATTCACACACGAGGAACACATTATTGAGAGAGGGAATGATGCATACGTTTAGAAATAAAGGGACATGAACCACCTTTTGCAACACCATCAATGCCTATTTTAAAAATATATGATAAATATGTGAGCAAATGTGCTTGATACAATCGAAGTATGGATAGGTATAAGAGCCGGAAGAGCCCCCAGCAAAATGATTTACAAATAAATAGATATGAGGGAGAAAATACCACTCTTCAATAATCATCATCAAATTAAATCCTTGTGAGTGCCCATTCATGACCAGAAACAGCAAGTGGCTCAAAGCAGAGAATCTACATGCCCTGTTTCCCCGAAAGTAAGACATTCCCAGAAAGTAAGACCTACTGACAGCTTTGCCTCTCTCTGAAATAAAAGGCATCCCCCTGAAAATAAGACCTCCCCGAAAATAAGGCTGCCCTGAAGCTACCGTAACTCTGGACTCTGCACTGTAGCGGTGGGTGCCGCCAAACAGCTCACTGTTGGCCGCAGCGCAGCCAGAGCAGACAGGAAGTGCGAGGTCTCTTTTAATAAAACAATAAACAATAAGTGTGTTCCGTATTCTTCTTCATGGAAAAATAAGACATCCCCTGGAAATAAAACCTAGCGCATCTTTGAGCACAAATTAATAAGACATTGTCTTATTTTCGGGGAAACAGGGTACTGGTAGAGCCAGACAACCAGGCTTATTAAAAAAAATCTGCTGCACTGCTTACTGGGTTGAAGAGTT